AGGATGATATAAAGCTAATAATAAAGTTGATTTTGCATGTTACACCTTTAAAATGCTTGGTCTTTATTTTCAGTAAAGTCTCAACATGTAACAGATGAAGGTATTTAAATAAATGACCTCTAGACTAGTAATCTAATATCAGGGTTGTAACGTTGTGATGCAACAACATATAAAAATGATTTCCAACTCAGTTCAGTACCTCAGTCAGCGACACTGCAGAACAGAGAGCAGGACGGGACACATCTCCCTCTCCAGCATAATATGCCACCCACCCACAGACATAAATCTTTTAAAGCTAGGATGTCCTGCGTTTCCACCCTGGCTACACCTCACTGCATCACTGCACAACCACTGAGCATCTCCCTCAGCTGAATCCTCCACAGACATCAAGGATACTTGACCTCTAAAGCCACGCAAAGACAGTCGGCTTCACTGCACCACAAACGTGGGAGAATAAACTGTGAATGTCATAGAAACTACAGAGCAACATGAGCAGAAAGCAGCACGAGTTGAAGCCTAATGTTTGGAGGAAGGAGACAAAGCGAGAAGAAAGGAGAGAGTGGGGCAAAGAAAGGAAGGGGTGGGGTGGGGGTGCACTGCAGCAAAGCGTCAAGGACTGAAACTTATCTTTAATTGGCTGCTTCGCTATCAGAAAGCTGAGCAATGAGGACAAATTAGTTTTGTACAATGACCAAACTCTGAAGGGCTTTGAAAAAAGAGAGTCAGGAGATTTTCCTGCACACAGAATCGTTTCCACCTCCGCCTGCATGTGAGGAAAAAGCCCAGATCTCTAACTCACAGCACCCGTTTCACCGTTAACTCCATCCCACCCATCACTCCTGAGTGTCAGCCAGCCACTCTAATGTATAATGAATCTGCAGCTTGTGTTGCTGGAACTGGCTGATGATTGAGAAATGGATCCCAACAATTTCTGTATCTTCTGATGCTCAGGAGAAGCTGATGAGCGAGCACCGGCTTTGGTTACAGCTCTACACTTAAAGAAGCAGAGCCTGAATCAAAGACAATGATTAATGGATTATTTTGAGAGGGGGTTATGCTTCAGTGTAAAGTAATTATTACGCAATTATGCAAAAAATATCTGTTTGTGTCCCTTTGGCACAGTGAAACACAAACAAATGAATTGTGGTGCTGATAAAGGTGCACTTTAAACTGTAATTCCACTATGCAGAGTGAGAAAAAAAACATTATATTAAGAAGAAAAAAAATGTTTCCATTTAAAAACTTTATTTTAAAAGAAATGTAAGACATCTAAAATTCTGTACACTAGTAGTTTTATAATTTTATAATTTATAATTTTAAACTAATAAAGCTCCTTGGATAAGAAGAATTTAAAAAGAAGCCCAGTTGCCATTAAAGGTGCGGTGCTTTTAAAGTTCTCCTGCTTTCAAACCCGTTCACGTCGTCATGTTGCGTGGCAGCAGAGTGGATCTGCCAAACAGAGCGTGAGGAATGAGCACGCCATCAAATCATGCTGCCGCAAAGATGAGACCATTTTAAGTCCGGTCACAGCTTTCTTTGACTCGTCCAATCAGAGGCTGTCAGACTGCGGCCTGAACACTCTCCAGTGCACCAGCTGGTTGTTAAATTGCTCCAAACAGCATAGATGTAGAAAAAGTTGTACAGGTGCAGCTTCTGGATGAGCCTAATCTCTCCTGACTCTGAGGGCATTATGAACATGTGCACCCCCTGGCTGCTGCTCATCCCCCCCCACCCCCTCCTCATGGATGAAGGTTTTGCCAGGCCTTTCATCTGACACCACATTCATGCTGCAGCTGTGAAACTAACCACTTCATATCTTTCTGGCCCCCTAACCAGCTTTAAATTTGGGTGTAATTTGTGCTGATGGGTCTTTTTTCCCCAGCTCCTTTCTTTTGCCAAAAACCAGGAACAACCTCCATCTGCAGAGTCAGATCTCAATTGGTTAGGTTTTATCTGTGACATGCATTTCTTTCAAATACAAAAAGTCATAGAAAACCTCTTTATATTTTAGAAACATGATTTAATACACACAATTTTACTCATTTTGTCACATAACTGGCATATTTTCTTTTGAAATGGGCTCAACCAAAGTGAAACAGGAAGTTACATCAAAGGGGAACTCTTTAAGAAAAGAAACTCTCTGGTCTTTGTTCATTAAAACAAAATCTTTTGAACTTTGACTCTTCTTCATCTTTCTGAGAGTGACTCAAAATAATCTAAAGAAACATCACTGATCTTCTGTCTGTGTTTTCAGCCATTTTATTAATGCCTTGTTTACATGCAGACATTCCCCTTTTAGATCACTTCTTGTTACTTCACATGCAAATATCTCAACAACTGTTCATCTCAGTGGCTTGAAAATCTTTTTGCAATATGTTATCAATGTTATCTTTCCAAAAATGCAATCATATTTTATTTCACTGGTACGTTAATCAGTGGTGGACAGTAATGAAGTACATTTACTTTATTATTGTAATTAAGTACATTTTTTGAGTATCTTTACTTTACTTGAGTAGTTATTTATTTGGGTACTTTTTACTTTTACTCCACTACATTTCAAAGACAAATATTGTACTTTTTACTCCACTACATTTCAAAGACAAATATTGTACTTTTTATTCCACTACATTTCTAGGAAGCTTGTCGTTACTCGTTCCTTAGATCAGCATAGCTTTATAATCCGCTGTGAAAATAAAGAAAAGAAAAAATCTGCTGTTCTAGTTTTTCTTTTCATGAAATGCAATTGGCCACAAGCTATGTTCGTCACAAAAGTAACAAATCACATGCGTAGCTTACAGCCTACATCACACTCGTTAACTCTCGGTAGCGGAGCGCGCGCTCCCATCACTTTACTTTCATTTCAAGCAGAACCAGACAAAAGAAGAAGAAGAAGATGCAATGGAGACCACTGAGGAAATGCAAGGAGAGAAACCAGCACACCCATGGCCACATCTCAGTTCAGTGTTCGAGGTTTTAGGACTTGAAAATAATACGTATAAGTTCAAATGTCTTCTCTGTTTACCACGGGTAAAGTACCTTTCAGCGTTCCATAACTCACCATCTAACCTGAGAAAGCACATTGAGGTAAGTCAGCAAACTTTTTTCTCACTAGTTTAAACGCTTTAAATGAAGATGACTTTGGTTAGGGTGGTTGTGGTTTAATGCTGTGAGAGATGATTGGAAAAATAGCCGACCATTGTGTGCTAACTGCTAGCTAAGAGCCCCGTGCGGGTGCCCCTTGGGGCTCTGCTCTCGGGATCCCTCTCGGGCCCTTGGGCTCTGGTCTTCCCTATGTCTGCCTCGTATCTTGGGGGTTGGGTCTCCGGTCCTCCACAGTCACTATTAAATATTGGAGAAATCTTGTATATACACACATGTTCACAACTGCTCACAYACAGGTGTTCTGATCCGGGGGGTTCTGACTGGTCACTGAGTGTGTAAATATGTCTATGTGTATATACAGACAATATTTATGAATGTAGGCATGTATGTATGTATATCTTGATATATGTATGGGTATGTGTATATTTTTATGTATGCCCTCCATGTATTTATCCATTTATTTTTTCAGGTGAGCGGACAGATGTTGGGTGTGTGGTCCTGTGTTTTGTTGGTGTATATTTAATATGCTTCTAATCGCTATTTCAATCTTTCTATCTTTCTAATTACTTCTCTCTCTGTCTCTATTTTCTCTTCACTTAAAAAAGTCACTGATGATGAAGAAATAAATAAACTAAATAAACTAATATTTAGTTTCGTTTTCTACTGAAGTGACAAAAAAAAGAAAAAAAAGAAAATGTAATTTGTACATTTACTTTGTACTTAAGTACTTTAAAATGCATGTACTTCTGAATACTTAAGTATTTTCAAAAGTAAGTACTTCAATACTTTTACTTGAGTAGATTTTTGACTGAGTAACTTTTACTTGTAGTGGAGTAGATTTGACCATGAGTATCAATACTTTTACTCAAGTACTAGAGTTGAGCGCTTTGTCCACCACTGACGTTAATGTAGTCAGTACTAGAAAAGGCAAGGTGACACAAAACCTGTTAAAAATGCTGATTTCGTCCTTTTTTACCCAACAAACAAAAGCTGAGAGCCTCTTAGAGAAACAGTCAGCATTTTATTGTCCAGAAAGGACAGTTTACAGAACAATAGGAGACCAATCAGCTTTAAGCCTCCTTTGAAGACAAAAGCCCTTAAAAAAGTTTTTCAAAATCTGGACAGCTTCACAAAGATGACCTTGCGTTTCTAATGTCTGTTCATTTCATCAGTCTTTTCTTAAACGAAGAAGTTGGCAAATCAACATCCAAATAATATTGATGCCTTTCGTGAGACAAGTCTTATGAATTTAGTCAAAATAGATCATTTTGGTTTCAAAACATTAAAAGAAAAACTTTATCTTTCTTTTCTGAACCCCAGTTTTTAAGATCCTAATTGTGAATTTGTCTCAATGTCTAAATCAGAGAAGTCAAACTAATTTTCACTGAGGGCCATATGAGAGTTATGGTGACCTCAACGGGCCAGTTGTAATTAACTTTGACCTTTCATGTTTGACTAAACATGACACGTCACAATCCTCGTCTCATTGCTGTGACTGAGAACCACTAACAAACAACAACTGAGCTCTACGTGGTATTTCCTGCACAGAAAGAGTGTTTCAACACATCCTCTAACAAACACTTAAAAGTACTGTGTGTACAACTGACTAAAGATGAAACAGATAATACCGAAATACTATTAAAAGTGAAAGTAAGCGAGTTTTACTCCCTGCTGAGTTGTGGTGAGTAGCTGCCATCTTAAATTCTGAACTCTTCCACTTTCCAACAGGGAATTCCCATGCATAATCAACATGCATTATGAGAGATGCAGTTTATGGTCAATGCTGGCATTAAAGCAGCTTAATTTGAGACTAAATTGCTCAGGGGGCCACAGTTATGCCAACAGCTCAGGGGTAGGACAAAGAGTATTATCTTTCACCTTTTAAATGTTTATTTTGTTGCAATGAATCATGAATTTAAAGTTTACCATTGATATGAAAACCTTTTTATATTAAATTAAGTACAGTATTTAAAAAAATGTGCAGGGCCCCTTTGGCGGGACAAATGGAAATCACCTATGGGCCACGAGTTTGACACATATGGTCTAAATGGTCATTTACAGCAAACACAGCTGAAGCAAACTTTCCGTGCACTCAGGTAAGAACTGTTCCCGTCCATGTAAGGACCCCCAAAGGTTCTCTGTTCTTTACCTTCCAGGCAGCATATTCTCCAGAGCCCAGAGTGGGTGAGCGCACCGGGGTCCTTCTTGTCTTTATTATGGGGATCATCCTGGGTGATGTTGGCTGTGCTGTTGCAGATCAGGGCACGGGAATACAGCCAGTAGTCCGTCCCTATCGCCACCGTCATCAGGCCAAAGGCGGCAAATGCCCCCACGGTGGTGAGAAGGATCTGGATCCCCTTCTCACACACCATGCCTGTAAGAGAAAGAGAAACGTGATTTTAGGAACGCGGTTACAGTCACAGGGTGAGAAAGAGAAAGTAAGGAAAAACAAGAGGTGGAGGCAGGTGGGTGAGAAGCCTTATGAAGTGTCCTTGGAGAAGGGTTTAATAATTCTGCTGACTCGGCTTAACAAGACTGAATGAAGGTGGAGTGAAACAGATCACACTCTCAGTCAGTTACATATTCATGACCCTGACACTGCTCTCAGCCCTGAACATTCCAGAAATACACACACAGCAGATCACACAAACGTAAACACCTTGTTCCTGTCTTTATCAGACAGGTGGGGGTGTGCATTTCTACATGCGAAACTCTCTGTGTGCACTTACACAAATAGCATTACATAACTCACTTAGTGCTTGTCATGTTGACTCATACCAGCGTGTTATGAAGTTGGTCGAGCATCACACAGTTGGCACTTCAGATATCCTCTACTGTTAAAAGTTTTCCTTTCATGGAGATATAAATCGATCCTGACTGAGTTTAGGAAAAGCACTGCAGACTGGAACTTACCTGATGGCGAGTTTCTATCCTTCGACTCAATTTTGAAATCTTTCTTGACCCCGTCAGTGAAGAACGTGCTGCCCCCTCAATCTGGACAGCATCCATCGACTGTGTTCACCTGCTCCCCCTCTCTCCTATTTGCTTCTTTTTCCCCCTTTTCTTTTGGCCCCTGTCCCTTTCTTTTAATCTTGCTGGCTTGTTGGATCTTGCAGGGGTTGTTGACGGTGGTCCAGCTATTCCCGCTGTTAGCAGGAGACTTGCAGAAAAAAAACCATGGTCACTATTCTCTCACGTCGGCTGCTGCAAAACAAATATAAAACACAAAAATGTTATTTGTTAATTTGTACACTGTTAATTATTCAAATAATTTGTTTATGTAAAATACAAGACAAACTGAAGACAAACACATAAACCAGTTGTCCATTTTATCTTAATCTGCTGTCTGTTTAAGATCCATAATTATGTTTTTATGAAGAAGTGAGCTGTGATCACATTACACTCTGTTGTACTGCGCAGAGGGATTCCTCAAGGTTCTGTGTTCAGTCCTTTGGTCTTTAGTCTGCTGACACTTGACTGTACTGCTAAATTTGATGAAACATCTTTCAGAGCTGAGGTGGAACAGTTAGTGAGCAGGTGTGAAAACAACAATCTGTTGAAGGTCAACTAAACTAACTGAAGAGTGGATTGTGAATTTTAGAATAAAAAAGCTTGGATTTCCAGGAACAACCTAAAACCAAAGACACAACAGGAACACCATAGTGCAGTGCGTCATTGGAAGTGTGTCAGATAATGCTACCAATACATACAGGATGTGTCAAGCTGAAATGTGCTGTAGGATCATCTTTAAAATATTTGTTTAATATTTCATCTTTCTCACCAAAGTAAACAAACTTTTAATCAATGGACCACCAGTATTTTCATTTCTTTTCCACTGTCTTTATGTTGAGAAGATTTTTGGGTCATGTATGATTATTTCTCAACCTCAATAATAAGTCTTTTCTTCCATTATATTATTTTTTGATATAAAACGGAGCTACACTTAAACAAGAGGAGAAAAACTGTTCAAAATTGCATAAAAGAAGCCAAGATGTTCAAGAAGGGAGTCAGTACACATAAAAATACATTACTTTTTAGGTGCTTGAATTTCCAACAGTGTTGAAAATGAATTGCTGGATGCATCTATGGCCAGCTTCTCCCGGTGTGGAAGTCATAACTTCAAATAATGGAGGCATAATTTTCGACACTTGCCATACACCTCTGGTGTGTTACGTCCTATACACAACGCTGGACAAGTTTCAGCTCATCATACATTTTTAATATATTTGAAATGACAAAATAAATGACTTTTTACTTGTTACTTGATACTTGAGTGAAGCTCCCTCAGGGGGAAACTAGAATGTGCACCCAGGTGTTACGTTTCCATCAATACTGATTGATTTACTGTAACCTCTGCAGAGAGTTATGCTGCAGGACTAAATGGCAATTAAACACGTTCTCACTGCACTCAAACACCAGATGTTGCAAAAGTGTTGCAAAATTTGCTTCTAGTGTAGTGATGATTTTTAATTGTTAAATGTTTTGGTCAAACTAGCATCATAGGTGTAAAAGAAAAATAAGAGTAAGCGGGGATACTGTTGGAAGCTGAAGAGAGAACGACTTCAGAGCATGTGCACAGCATCTAGTCTGAATAAGAGGAGCAAGGGGGGTGGGGAGGGGAGGCAGAGAGGACCAGCCCGACAATGTTACCATAGCAACACTGATTTCCAAAGTCTGGATCAGCATAGAGCGAGGAGGAGAAAAGAGAGGGGCTGACGAAAGATAGAGGGAGAAAAGGGCAAAGAGGAGAAATGGAAAAAAAGAAGAAAAAGGCAGAAAAGAGGAGGATATTTTAAGTCATTATCTGTTAACGACTGTAAAACTCGCCATCCTGCTGAATCTGTGTCAGTAGAAAAGTGTAACGACTGCAACTCAGGAAATACTCGACACAAACACATTTAGATTAGGGCTAAAAGTGCATCATTTAGATGAGAAATAATCTCTCTCGCGGGTCGTCTTTTCCTTAACAGATCCAGAACCGAGCGATGTTTGAGCACAGAGGACTCAACAAACAGTGTTTAACAAACATAATGCAGTTCAGTCAAATCTGTTAATATTTCATGATGCAATATGGCACCGCCATTAAAATAGGTTACATCCTGTTTGTATTGTATGACCCAAAGCAGAGCTGCCTCACAGACAGAAGGAGAGCCAGTGTGTGTTTGTGTGTGAGAGCATTTCCTCTCCAATGCGTCTGAGGATGGGTCGAGTTCAATCTTATTGAATCCCAGTAATGTTCCCCTCAGCTCTCCTCAGTTAGACAGTTAGCCTCGTGTCTCTGCGTTCAGGCTGCGTATTATGTAAACTGTCATCTGACACCACTGCAGCATGGCTTTATTCATTAAACATTCTGTTCGCTTACTGTATGTTTTGGTGATTGTGCTTTTTTTATGTGGGTTATACGACCCTCTAACCCCATCAACATACAGATTTTCCCTGAAGAATAAAGGATTACACATCACTCTCCAAGGCCTATAAACCAAGCAGTAATGTGTCAGTGTGCGGTCTTTGTGTTTAACAAATGACCTTAAGAATAACCTACTAAGTTATTCCCTGTGGCAAAACCTCCCCTGAGTAGCAGATCATAATTGTCTCTTCATTATCTGTAATTTCTATTTTCCTTCAATAATTACAGAGGAGAATGAAGGGAGTGTTTGGAACAAAACTAGGGGAGCGTGAAAGGACATGAGAGCATGAGAAAATGAGCAAAAAACTGAGAGTTTTACTAAGTAGCTCAGACTGAGGAACAGGGTTTATAAAGCCAGACAAAGAAGACAGAGTTTTACTGACACTGGGACCACAAAAATGTACAAAAATGAATCTGTGTATGGTTCATTCTTTGTTTTTTTTTTAACAAAATCGCAAAAAAACCAACCATGGTTTTTCTTTCATTTTTTCTTTTTTAACTTAAATGCACAATCAAACTAATTCAAAATCCACAGAGTTTGATTTTTGCTTCAGTAATATAAATCTATAATAATGTTGTTTCAAAATGAAGGAAGTCACCAAAGAAGAAGAGTTTAAAGTGGTTGGAAGAAAAAAAGAAACAATTCCTAAACATATTGGCGATGGCTGCACTCAAACACCCTGTTCTGCATAACTTGCAATACGAAAGCAATTTTGTTCCCAGTAAGATCATCAGCTCTCAGTGAGACTCAACGACTACCTCTTAATAAGACAGACAAATCCATGGTGAGAAGTGAAAACACTCCAGGAGCTCAAGCCATGATTTCTGATTCTGCCAGTAGCTCCCACATGGTGCACCAACAAAATATAAAGCTTGTCTTGTCTTTAACCAATAAAATGAAAAATCATAGTCTTTCTTACTTTTTGCAATTGTCATTTTTCTAATTTACTTTTAAAACAAAACAAAACAAACAAACAAAAAAACCCTGAAAAACACCCAATTATTATTTTTTCTTTTATTTTGAAAAGGAAATACCAAAGAACGAACCATACACAGGTTATGAGTGTTTGTCTTTGTCTTTATTTCCAGAGCATGAACAAGAAAATTATTGTTCTGATATTTAGAAATAAAATCTGTGACCTAAATATTGGCTTGGGTTAAAATCATTACTACTTTGGAAATGAACTCCATTAAACTGGGCAGCACAATAAGTCAAAAATTAAAAATGAATGTTGCATCAATCTGTATCTATTCATGCTGCACATCCCAATAATGGTTTTGGCTAATCTGATGTCCTTGATGCCCACAACAGATTTAGATGATACTGGTGAAGGACAATGAAGCACACAGAGAGCTGTAGACAGAGAGGAGTGAAGGCAGTGGGTTTACTACAATTTTTAATAATATTTTACCATTTAGTTGTTTTAAAACATCCTGCAGCTGGTTTATATTGAAGGCTTAGCCTTACTTATAGGATTGTATATCACTGCTATGGATTTAATCAAACATCATTTTATGTTGAGAAATTCTGCCATCCATCCATTATCTTGACCATCTTTTTTCTCTAAGGGTCACTGATGCACATAACCAGCAGTCACTGTGTGGGGACGTACGCCTGGAGAGGTCACAAACCCATGGCAGAGACACAGAGACAATCATTCACTCTCTCACCTACCAGTTACCAATTAGCCTAATAGTTATGTATTTGGTCTATCAGAGGAAGCCAGAGCACCCAGAGAAAACCCACACATTCACAGAGAGAACATTTTACCCAGAAAAGGTCCCTGGGTTGCTGGTTTAATCCAGTAACATTCTTGCCGAAAGGCAACATCTCTACTAACTGAGCTCATGTTGAGAAATGAACGTCATTTATCGCTGTTCTGGTCAAAACCTTGAAAGTAACATTTAGTACGATCTCACACTACAGCTTAGCTTCTGAGGAATGAGCAGAGGGTGAATCTCAGTTAGCACCACACCAGATTTTAGCTCATCATCTGCTAATCTGACTGAGCTTCAGCTGTTTTTGTGTTTGCTGAGGTTGATTATCTGGCAGCAGATTGAATCAAGTTGTTTCCAGACGTTCATCAGTTATTTGTCCATCCAGTCATTTCATTTTTGAGAGTTTCATTATAATCTGTTAAAAATATTTTGCTAACCTTATAATCATAGGTGGCCGCTGATAAGTGTTGGGCTCAGGATTACAGGACAATCATGTAATTGCCTGTGTGCCTGCTTGTTTGTTTGACTTTTAGCAAAATATTTCACAAACAACCAAATGAATATAACGAAACTTTCAAAAAATAACCTTTGGTTGTATTTCTGTAAGTGATTACTTTTTGTAGTCGACTTGAGTCAAGAGTAGAGTTAAATATCACTAGTGAGCCCTGCCTATCTCATCCACTGTTAGTATTGGTGACAACACGGAGGAGCAAAAATGGCAACCAAACAGGGTGTCACCTAACAGCTGTAATAGCAACTATGAGATTAGCAGCAACTGGATCTGTGTCACAAATTGTCTGTAATATTTTTACAATAAATTAATATAATTGCTAATTATGTTAATTTCATTCAACAAAAACAGTTGTACAAGACAAATATATAATTTATAAGTAACAATGATCTAAACAGTCCTGAATCAGTCAATACCTTAGACTTTTTAGCTAGATGAAAATTATGATTTCAGCTAGTAATAAAGTATATTTGTTATTTCTTACTGTCATAAATAATAATAACAAATATTTAGCAAATGCCACTTGGAAAATGTTGACTGATACTTTGAGTTGAAACTAGTCTTTAT